TCTGTTCCACAAGGCACAGTATAGCTCCCATCTTGTTCCTCATCCTCATATCCGACATAGACAAGGATGTCAGCCACAGCACCGTGTCTTCCTTTGCAGATGACACCCGAATCTGCATGACAGTGTCTTCCATTGCAGACACTGCAAGGCTCCAGGCGGACATCAACCAAATCTTTCAGTGGGCTGCAGAAAACAATATGAAGTTCAACGATGAGAAATTTCAATTACTCAGATATGGTAAACATGAGGAAATTAAATCTTCATCAGAGTACAAACAAATTCTGGCCACAAAATAGAGCGAAACACCAACGTCAAAGACCTGGGAGTGATTATGTCGGAGGATCTCACCTTCAAGGACCATAAACATTGTATCAATCGCATTCTGCTAGAAAAATGACAGGATGGATAATGAGAACCTTCAAAACTAGGGAGGCCAAGCCCATGATGACACTCTTCAGGTCACTTGTTCTATCTAGGCTGGAATATTGCTGCACTCTAACAGCACCTTTAAGGCAGGTGAAATTGCCGACCTAGAAAATGTACAGAGAACTTTCACGGCGCGCATAAACGGAGATAAAACACCTCAATTACTGGGAGCGCTTGAGGTTTCTAAACCTGTATTCCCTGGAACGCAGGAGGGGGAGATACATGATTATATACACCTGGAAAATCTAGAGGGACTAGTACCGAACTTGCACACGAAAATCACTCACTACGAAAGCAAAAGACTTGGCAGACGATGCACCATCCCCCAATGAAAAGCAGGGGTGTCACTAGCACGTTAAGAGACCATACAATAAGTGTCAGGGGACCGAGACTGTTCAACTGCCTCCCAGCACACATAAGGGGGATTACCAACAGACCCTGGCAGTCTTCAAGCTGGCACTGGACAAGCACCTAAAGTCAGTTCCTGATCAGCCGGGCTGTGGCTCGTACGTTGGTTTGCGTGCAGCCAGCAGCAACAGCCTGGTTGATCAGGCGCTGATCCACCAGGAGGCCTGGTCACAGACCGGGCCCGCGGGGGCGTTGACCCCCGAAACTCTCTCCAGGTAAACTCCAGGTAAAAAACAAACATTGTCCTATAAAAACGAAACAGATCACAAACAAACGGCTTGGTTGCCATGGCTAACCAGCACCATTCTGAAATCCATTGATAAGAAACACCAATATGAAAAGCAATATAGACAGGGCTTAATACACAAAGATATTCTTAAACACTATTCATCAGTCCTCACCAAGTAATAAAGAAAGCCAAACAACTATACTACTCCAGTAGATTCACTGACACAATAGGAGATATAAAAAAGACCTGGAAACACTCTCTCAGATTCTAGGGACCCACAAACTGAAAAAAAAAACAAGAATATGCCCTAAACTAAACCTAATGAAAACACCACTGCATCCACTGGACACAGCTAACAAGATAAACGACTTCTTCTCAACCATAGGTTCTAATCTCGCCAATAAAATCCCATGCACCAATGCCCATGCCGGGGACTACCTTGATGGGAATTTCCCAAATTCCTTCTATCTTGCTCCAACTGAGCCCATGGAAGTCACCAAGATTATAAAGTCACTTAAAAATAACCCAGGGAATCTGTCTCATGTCCCACCATTATTGTACAAGAGAGCGGCCCATGTCCTCTCGCATGCTATCTCATTACTTTTTAACAAGTCACTAGAAGCTAGCACCTTTCCGAAACTACTCAAGACGGCAAGGGTTACACCAATACATAAAGGTGGTGACCATACAGATTTAAACAACTATAGGCCAATATCAAACTTACCATTGCTATCCAAAATCTTTGAGAAACTCGTGCACAGGAGACTATATTCATTTATAACGTCACAGCCATTTATAACGTCACCCAGCCAAGCTAGGTGTTCTAGTGGTACACTCTGTAATTATTATTTTACTACATGTAAACAACACAATAACCAAATTCTGTAAACTCAGCATTGTAATCCTTATAGAGAATAAACTTTGAATCACTATCTTGCCAGAGGCATGCCTACACTACAGTTATAAAACTGCAACATTAACACCCCTCCTTCAGAGTGCAGACACTGTACTTCCCATCTCAAAGACTCAAGTCCGGCCTGCCAGTTTCCCTGAATCCCTTCATGTTACCCTGCTTACACTCCAACAGCACATCAAGTCTTAAAAACCATCTGTTTCCATTCGCTCCTGTCTAACATGCTCATGCACACTTGCTGGAAGTCCAAGCACCTCGCACACAAAACCTCCTTTACTCCCTCCCTCCAACCTTTCCTAGGCCAACCCCTACCTTGCCTTCACTACAGATTTGTATACTCTCGAAGTCATTCTATTTCGTTCCATTCTCTCTACATGTCCAAACCATCTCAATAACACCTCCTCAGCCCTCTGGATAATAGTTTTGGTAATCCAACACCTCCTCCTAATCTCCACACTATGGATTCTCTGCATTATATTCACACCACACATTGCCCTCAGATATGACATCTCCACTGCCTCCAGTCTCCTCCTTGTTGTAACATTCACAACCCATGCCTCACACCCATTACAAGAGCATTGGTATAACTTTACTCTCATACATTCCCATCTTTGCTTTCATGGATAAAGTTCTTTGTCTCCACAGACTCCTCAGTGCACCACTCGCCTTTTTCCCTTTGTCAATTCTATGATTCACCTCATCCTTGATAGACTCATCTGCTGACATGTCACCTCCCAAATATGTGAACACATTCACCTCCTCCTTACTCTATCCCTCCAATCTGATATCCAATCTTCTGTTACCTAATTTTTTTGTTATCCTCATCACTTTATGCTTTCCTATATTCACTTTTAACTTCCTTCTTTTACATACCCTATCAAACTCATCGGCCAACCTCTGCAACTTCTCTTCAGAATCTCCCAAAATCACAGTGTCATCAGCAAAGAGGAGCTGTGACAACTTCCACTTTGTGTTAGATTCCTTATCTTTTAATCCCACACCTCTTGCCAACACCCAAGCATTCACTTCTCTTACTACTCCATCTGTAAATATATTGAACAACCATGGTGACATCACACATCCCAGTCTAAGGCCTACTTTTACTGAGAAATAATCCCCCTCTCACCTACATTTTCTAACTTGAGCCTCACTATCCTCGTAAAACTTTTCACTGCTTTCAATGAACTACTATTCCATATATTTGCAACATCTGCCACACTGCCCCTCCCCCATCCACCCTATCATATGCCTTTTCCAAATCCATAAATGCCACAAAAACCTCTTTACCCTAATCTAAATACATGTACTGCTCACCTATACTGCTCACCTGTGTGTTTCACTGCAAACACTTGGTCCACACACCCCCTACCTTTCCTAAAGCCTCCTTGTTCATCTGCTATCCCGCTCTCCGTCTTACTCATAATTCTATCAATAATAATTCTACCATATACTTTACCAGGTATACTCAACAGACTTATTCCCCTAAAATTTTTACACTCTCTTTTGTCTTCTTTGCCTTTATACAAAGCAACTATGCATGCTCTCTGCCAATCCCTAGGTACCTTACCCTCTTCCATACATTTATTAAATAAAAACACTAACCACTCCAAAACTATATCCCCACCTGCTTTTAACATTTCTATCTTTATCCAATCAATCCCAGCTGCTGTATCCCCTTTCATTCTACTCAGTGACCCACACACTTCCCCCATACTCACAACTGGTTCTTCCTCACTCCTATAAGATATTATTCCTTTAAAATATATTTGTATTAAATATTTTGCTTCTTAGGAAACTTGCCAACTTAACAGGCTACCCCATACACAGTACTGTTGCTAGTTACACATACAAAGATTTATAAAAATAAATCACTTAGGATTCACTACATTAGTATGCTTTCTCAAGAACAAGAGAATTTTTTTTTTCAACAAGTCTGCTGTCTCCCACCGAGGCAGGGTGACCCAAAAAGAAAGAAAATCCCCAAAAAGAAAATACTTTCATCATCATTCAACACTTTCACCTAACTCACACATAATCACTGTTTTTGCAGAGGTGCCAAGAATACAACAGTTTAGAAGTATATACGTATAAAAATACACAATATATCCCTCCAAACTGCCAATATCCCAAACCCCTCCTTTAGAGTGCAGGCATTATACTTCCCATTTCCAGGACTCAAGTCCGGTTATATAAAATAACCGGTTTCCCTGAATCCCTTCACTAAATATTACCCTGCTCACACTCCAACAGCTCATCGGGTCCCAAATATCATTTGTCTCCAATCACTCCTATCTAACACGTTCATGCACGCTTGCTGGAAGTCCAAGCCCCTCGCCCACAACACCTCCTTTACCCCCACCTTCCAACCTTTTCAAGGACGACCCCTACCCCACCTTCCTTCCCCTACAGATTCATACGCTCTCCATGTCATTCTACTTTGATCCATTCTCTCTAAATGACCAAACCACATCAACAAACCCTCTTCAGCCCCCTGACTAATACTTTTATTAACTCCACACCTTCTAATTTCCACACTCCGAATTTTCTGCATAATATTTACACCACACATTTCCCTTAGACATTATTATTATAATCAAAAAAGAAGCGCTAAGCCACAAGGACTATACAGCATGCCCTTAGACAGGACATCTCCACTGCCTCCAACCGTCTCCTCGCTGCTGCATTTACCACCCAAGCTTCACACCCATATAAGTGTTGGTACTACTAAACTTTCATACATTCCCTTCTTTGCCTCCATAGATAACGTTTTTTTGCCTCCACATATACCTCAATGCACCACTCACCTTTTTTCCTTCATCAGTTCTATGATTAACCTCATCCTTCATAAATCCATCCGCTGACACGTCAACTCCCAAATGTCTGAAAACATTCACTTCTTCCAAAACACAGAAAAGAAAACAAGTAAAGTATTCACTGAGAAAACACTTTTTAAACCTGCAAATAATTGTCTAAAAATTTTATGCTGATGAATAATAATTAAACATTTCATGCAACAATAATTACCTTGGTGTTCAATATGATGCGTCCCTCATCAGGGACCATATGAGCTCCAAGGAGTTGACAGTTGCCAGAGTCCAAAAAGGTGTTGAGGTTCTGGTCATCATTCAGTGCCACCAACAGGGGATCCGATAGGGAAAGGCCAAAGTAGTTTCCTGTCAAAAGTACATACAGTGAACTCTCTCCAGGTAAACTCCAGTACTATATTTATCTCCAAACACCTAAGAGGTGTGTAAGTATTAGCCGAATTTTGTAGACTGAATCCAAGAAAAATCTGTTATCCAGCCCTAATGGAAGTCAGTCGTAGGCAAAATGCTCATGTTATGTACATACTGAAAGTTTAGTGCTTAACAGTCCACAACAAGCAGAATTTTTACATTTTTATCTCAGGCTAGGAAAGGACTTGAATTTCCACACCTTAACTCCCCAAATGAACAGTAAGTTAAAGTAAAGTAAAAGATATTTCATGCACTGTGATGTAACAAATGATGCAAAACACTTAAAGCCTAAAAAAAAATGTGTAGCAGTTTAAAATAATGAAACTTAAAAAATATACAGTACAAAAGGACATCAGACAAAACAAGAGAACCCTTGTAGACACAAGGACACTACCAAAGCCACTACATAAATAATGAACTTAGAAAAATAACCAAAATCCATACCAGTTGTCGTGAGGATAAAATTCTTGCGTACATCTGATGTCTCCATTTCGAGGCTTCAGTCAATGTTCTCATCATTCAGTCAAATCAGCAATGATTACAGCCTGTAAACACCTCTAAATAAAAATACACGTACATTATACAGATAATTTGCATAATATACTATGTATAAATTGATACAGTGTGAATACATGTGTGAGCAGGGATTCAGAGAAACCAGTTAGCTGGACTTGAGTCCCGAAGGTGGGAAGTATAATGCCTGTAATTAAAGGAGGGGTTTGGGATACTATCTGTCTTTGCAGAGACATGCTGTCCAAAGCTGTTGTACAGCCACATCAGGAGGAAAATAACAGTCAATGACTAGGTCATCAGGCTGAGGAAGGAAGGAGGGCAATGACCACAAAGTATGAGGAGCTCAACATGAGATTGAAAGAAGTGCTCACTGATGAGACAGAAGGGACTCCAGAAAGACGGAGAGGTGAGGCACACCATCAGGTGTTGGACACAATACATACAACTGAGGAAGAAGTGAAGAGGCAGCTAAGCGAGCTAGATACCTCAAAGGCGATGGGGCCGGATAACATCTCTCCATGGGTCCTGAGAGAGGGAGCAGAGGTGCTATGTGTACCACTAACAACAATCTTCACACATCTATCTAAACAGGACAACTACCTGAGGTATGGAACACAGCAAATGTAGTCACAATTTTTTAAAAAAGGAGACAGACATGAAGCATTAAACTACAGACCAGTGTCACTGACATGTATAGTATGCAAAGTCATGAAGAAGTTTATTAGGAGAAGAGTGGTGGAGCACCTAAAAAGGAATGAGCTTATCAACAACAACCAGGGTGGTTTCAGGGACAGGAAATCCTGTCACAAACCTACTGGAGTTCTATGACAGAGTGACAGCAGTACGACAAGAGAGAGAGGGGTAGGTAGATTGCATTTTCTTGGACTGTAAGAAGGCATCTGACAGTTCCATAAAAGAGATTAGTGGAAAAGCTGGAGGACCAGGCAGGGATAACAGGGAAGGCACTGCAATAGATCAAGGAATAGCTGTCGGGAAGACAATGGCGAGTCATAGTACATGACAAGGTGTCAGAGTGGGCGCCTGTGATGAGTGGGGTTCCACAGGGGTCAGTCCTAGAGCCAGTATTGTTTCTGATACATGTGAACGACATGACGGAAGGAATTGACTCAGAAATGTCCCAGTTTACAGATGATGTGAAGCTGATGAGAAGAATTCAATCAGATGAGGACCAGGAACAACTTCAAAGGGATTTGGACAGGCTGCAGGCCTAGTCCAGATACTGGCTCCTGGAGTTCAACCCCAGCAAGTGCAAAGTCATGAAGATTGGGGAAGGGCAAAGAAGACTGCAGACGGAATACAGTCTAGGGGGCCAGAGACTACAAACCTCACTCAAGGAAAAGGATCTTGGGGTGAGTATAACACCAAGCACATCTCCTGAGGCACACATCAACCAAATAACTGCTGCAGTATACAAGCACCCAGCAAACCTAAGAATAGCATTCCAACGTCTCAGTAAGAAATCGTTCAGGACCCCTGTACACTGTGTACGTTAGGCCTATATTGGAGTATGCAGCACCAGTTTGGAACCCACACCTAGCCAAGCATTTAAGGAAATTAGAGAAAGTTCAAGGGTTTGCAACAAGACTAGTCTCGGAGCTAAGGGGAATGTCCTACAAGGAGAGGTTAAGGGAAATCGACCTGACAATGTAGGACAGGAGAGATAGGGATGATATGATAACATAAAATACTGAGAGGAATCGACAAGGTGGATAGAGACAGGATGTTTCAGAGATGGAACACAGCACCAAGGGGTCACAGTCGGAAATTGAAGACTCAGATGAATCACAAGGAGTTTAGGAAGCATTTTTTCAGTCACAGAGTTGTCAGAATGTGGAATAGTCTGGGAAGTGATGTAGTGGAGGCAGGATCCATACACAGCTTTAAGAAGAGATATGATAAAACTCACAGAGCATGAAGAGTGACTTAGTAGCGGCCAGCGACGAGGCGGGGCCAGGAGCTGTAACTCGACCCCTGCAACAACTAGGTGAGTACACCCCCCACACCCCCCCACACACACACACCCAACAAACCCCCCACACACACGAGCTATGACTCGACCCCTGCAACCACAATTAGATGATTACGTATTTACACGCACTGTACACTGTGTACGTCAGGCCCATCCTGGAGTATGCAGCACCAGTTTGGAACCCACACTTGGTCAAACACGTCAAGAAATTACAGAAAGTGCAAAGGTTTGCAACAAGGTTAGTTCCGGAGCTCAGGGGAATGTCCTACGAAGAAAGGTTGAGGTAAATCGGCTTGACGACGCTGGAGGACAGGAGGGTCAGGGGAGACATGATAACGACATATAAAATACTGCACGGAATAGACAAGGTGGACAAAGACAGGATGTTCCAGAGATGGGACACAGAAACAAGGGGTCAGAATTGGAAGTTGAAGACTCGGACGAGTCAAAAGGATGTTAGGAAGTATTTTCTCAGTCACAGAGTTGTCAGGCAGTGGAATAGCCTAGAAAGTGACGTACTGGAGGTGGGAACCATGCATAGTTTTAAGACGAAGTTCGATAAAGCTCATGGAGCAGGGAGAGGACCCAGTAACAATCAGTTAAGAGGCGGGGCCAGGAGCTATGACTCGACCACTGCAACCGCAAATAGATTAGTACACTGAGAGTATAATGGTACCAACACTCTTATATGGGTGTAAAGCATGGGTTGTGAATGATGCAGCAAGGGGGCTGGAAGTAGTGGAGTTGTCGTGTCTGAGAGTAATGTGGTGTAAATATGCAGATAATTAGTTGTTTGGAGATTAGGAGGTGTGGAGTACTAAGAGTATTATTCAGAGGGTTGTTGAGGTGGTTTGGTCACTTAGAGAGGATGGAGAAAAATAGAATGACTTGGAGATTGTAGAAATTGTTGATTTTTTGCCACCGAAGTGGCTAGTTTATTGTGCACCCCATATCCATCCTGTGGACGGTAGCGCGAGAGCATATGGATACACAAAAGGCCTAGGAACTAGGCCCCAAAGGGTTAACATGAATACATATGGATTTATATCTACATATCTATAGTTCACTTATCTGTTACAAGCAAATTTAGGAAATTTGCTTAGTATATCTGGTATCTTATTTTCATTAATAAGATATCTTGGCATGTCACATAGGTTATTATACTGTCTGTCTCTGTATTCCTCAATAAGTGGACAATTAAGCACATAGTGTTCAAGAGAGTGACCATATGCCTAATCACATAATTTACATTTAGTTTGATTATCATCTGTGTGTCTCCCAAACTGCCAGAAGTACTTGTAACCAAGCCTAAGCCTGGCCACTACAACATCAGTCAGTCTGTTCACATTGCAAGTTGCTCCATAAACATACTTATCTACGTTCATGTTATCATAGTGGGTTATAGATCTACTCAGGCTTCTAACTGCATTCCTATAACAATCATTTTCATTATTTACTTCTCTCCTAATATTATTCCTAATGCTAGACACAGTTATACCAAAGTTACATTCTACATTCTCCTGGAGAAGGGGTCATCCTAAGAAAGGATGGAGGGAGGGGGTAAAAGAGATTTTGTGTGGAAGGGGCTTGGACATGCAGTAGGCATGTGTGTGTTAGATGGGAGTGAATGGAGACGAATGGTTTTTGGGACCTTACGAGTTGTTGGAGTGTGAGCAGAGTAATATTGTGAAGGGATTCTGAGAAACCTGTTAGCCAGACTTGAGTCCTGGAGGTGGGAAGAGCAATACCTGCACTTTAAAGGAGGGGTTTGGGATATTGGCTGTTTGGAATAACATCTAAACTGTCGTATCTGGCGCCTCTGCAAATACAGTAATTATGTGTGAATGGTGGTGAAAATGTTTCTTTCTTTTTTGGGTCACTTTGCCTCGGTGGGAGACGGCCAGTATATTGGAAAAAAATATAAATTATTATAAAGTGTTTACAGTAGAATAGATAACACGGATATTATTTATCATATAAAGTATTAAAGGATTTCTATCCCGATTAAAAATATATATATGATCATAACAATTACCTTCAATAATGAAGCTGGCTATGATAACGTCTGGACAGCTTCATCTCCCCCACTGCAAAAACTTGGCCTCCTCCCTGACTACAAAAGCTTGACCTCTCACGACTGCACAAGCTTAACCTCCACCCACGACTGCACAAGCTTGACCTCCACCCACGGCTCCACAAGCTTAACCTCCACCCACGACTGCACAAGCTTAACTTCCACCCACGGCTGCACCAGCTTGACCTCCACCCACGGCTGCACAAGCTTAACTTCCACCCACGGCTGCACAAGCCTGACCTCCACCCACGACTGCACAAGCTTGACCTCCACCCACGACTGCACAAACTTAACTTCCACCCACGGCTGCTCAAGCTTAACCTCCACCCACGACTGCACAAGCTTGACCTCCACCCACAACTGCACAAGCTTAACCTCCACCCACGACTGCACAAGCTTGACCTCCACCCACGGCTGCACAAGCTTAACCTCCACCCACGGCTGCACAAGCTTGACCTCCACCCACGGCTGCACAAGTTAGACCTCCACCCACGGCTGACACACCAGGGTAAACCTCCACCCACGGCTGCACAAGCTTGACCTCCACCCACGGCTGCACAAGCTTGACTGAAGTATTCAAGCTTATGCCTCAGGTCCCATGCTCATGTGCCAAGCATCTCTTACATTATAACACTTATCGGGGAAAGCGCTAAACC